CTCCAGTCGAACCCGCAGGTCTATCAACTCCAGGACTCCTAGCACGAGGACCTTCGGGACCGTCCGCACCAGCACCCTCAGCAGCCGAAGAAGCTCCAGCAGAACGCCTCTAGCGCCGGGCTCCTATGAAGAGAGTGGCTCCCGCCGAGACGAAGGTCTGGCAGATGCCTCGCGCATGGCAGTAGGCTCGGAGAAGGCCAGAGGAGAACACTCCGCCTCGGTCAGAGTGCAGACGCAGAACAGGTAAGTCTGAGCCAAATCTCCTCCTCAGCTGGAGACGAGCTGCGCGGATCGAGTCGATCAGCACCTCAATGACATCATCCTTGCTGCGCAAGGGGAAGACTGTGGTGTAACGCGAGTAGTCGTCAACCACCAGCAGGAAGTAGCGCTCGTGACCCTGTCCACGGACGTGGGCCGGGCCCCACACGTCCATGTGAAGCGCTTGCAGCGGGCCCTCTGTCAGAGGAGACTGAGAGGAGTGAGGGGTAGCTCGCAACCGCCCCTCGACACAAGGGACGCAGGAAGGGCCAGGCCCCGGAGGAAGGGGAGGGAGGGACCGGGGAACACCAGAGACAAGGACACGGGAGACCATGCCCCGGAGACGAGGCAAGGACAGGTGACCAAGGCGGTGGTGCCACAAGAGAGTCTCGTGAGACAAGAGGCGACACGAGCAGGGGGCAGACTCAAGACCAGACCTGGACGCTGCAGCAAACACCTGACCCGACGCAGCTACCTGACCAGACGCAGGGACAGGAGGAGATTGAGTGGTCAGGGTGTACAGGCTCGACCCCGGCCGACGCGTAAATGTGGCCAGGTGTCGGCCTGTGCGAGCATCCGAGCAATGGGTCACCCGCTAACTCGCAGTAGTGAACTGGTGAACCCCCGCATCCTGTAGGTCAGCACCACTCACCAAGTTTGTAGAGAACGAGGGGAGGTCAAGACCAGACAAGGTGCCAGAGGGGGCAGCCGGACACAAGAGGACAGTGGAGAAGTGAGAGAGGACAGGACCCCCAGAGGGGTCTGCCAGGGAGACCGCAACCGGCCGACCAAGCGGCGTGAGTGTGGTGCGGTCTCGAAAGAAGGAGGGAGAAGCCCCGGAGTCAAGTGTGAAGGTGTGCAAGGCCTTAGCAGGGCAGACTCACTAGTACGTGGAGTAGCAGACTCACTAGCACCTAGAGCAGCAGTCCCACTGGCACCTAGAGCAGCAGCCTCACCAGTACCTAGAGCAGCAGTCTCAATGCCCGGGTCGGGCGGGAAACACCGGTAACAGTCACCCTCATCACTAATAGTCACAGCATACATGGCAGCAAGAATAGCATCAAAGTCAAGATCAGAGATTGCTACACCCGCCCTAGACAGCTCACCCCAGCGGGGGATCTCAGTGGCCTCCGGGAACTGGTGACGCCAAGCGTCCGACAGGCGGCCAAAGCAGCGCTGGGTGGGGTGCGCACCCCCACATTGCTCACGCGCACAGTCGCCGATGCGTAGGACGTAGGTGCACGGACCAAAACCCCCACCACGCTGACGTGCAGCGTACCACTCACGGAGCTGCTGAGGGGGGGGGATGTCCCGAGAACGCTGCTGCTGCTGCTGGCGCTGACCACCACCGGAGCCGCTCCGCTGCGAAGCGCCACCCCGACCAGCTCCACCTCCTCCACCACCGCCTCCTCCACCTCCGCCACCACCGCCGCCTCCGCTACCACCGCTACCGCCTCCGCCGCCTCCGCCTCCACTGCCGCCATCGACACCTCCACCCCCGCCACCACTCCCACCGCCACCCCCACTCCTTCCGCCGCCTCCACCGCCACCTCCACCACCCCTGCTAGCTCCTCTTGCGCCCTTTCCCCCCTTGCCCTTGCTAGAGCGGCGTCTCCCAATAGGGGCAGACGCCGCACCGACCGACTCAAGACCAACGAGGTCGGCCGCAGCAGCAGAGGCGATAGAGGGCAAAAGGGGGCAAGGGGAACACCCCTCAAATATGGGGGTGCAAGGGTCACCACAAGAGGCTCCTACAGCGACTATGTTCTTCTTCGCTGCTAATAGGGCCTTCTCGAGGAGGTCAACAGTGAGAGTGGTGGGACAGACTAAGAGGAAGTGGTCTCTGACTACACGAAGGAAGTCAGGGAGGCGGGTGACTATGTAGCAGAGAGTGATGTACATGGGGGGGGGGGGGGGTTCTTGGCGCAGAACTCAGCAGGAAGCGCACCGCGGTAGCGAGTGTCACTAGTGCGGAGGTGCGTAATGAGGTCAGCGACTGTGGGAAAGGCAGCAAGGCCAGGGAAGAGGTACGGTAGCATGAGGCGGCTCAGTGCAACAGTGTTAGGGGAAGAGTAGCGCGCAACTACGGCGTCGTACAAGGTCTGAGCACTCTTGTAGTGACTAAAGTGTGCGCGCTCAGTGGTAGGTAGGTGGCGACGCACAGCAAGACACGCAGCAACATCGCAAGTGGCCCACTGTGAGCGAACAGTGGCGTCGGCATCGGCAGCAGGGGCAGGGGAGGCACCAGAGGTGAGGTCAAAGAGGGAGAGACCGTCTGCCCTATCGCACTGTAGGAAAAGCAGCAAGGTCAGCGATTGTGGGAAAGGCAGCAAGGTCAGGGAAGAGGTACGGTAGCGTGAGGCGGCTCAGTGCAGCAGTGGCAGGGGAAGAGTAGCGCGCAACTACAGCGTTGTACAAGGTCTGAGCACTCTTGTACTGACTAAAGTGTGCGCGCTCAGTGGTAGGCAGGTGGCGACGCACAGCAAGACATGCAGCAACATCGCAAGTGGCCCACTGTGAGCGAACAGTGGCGTCGGCATTGGCAGCAGGGGCAAGGGAGGCACCAGAGGTGAGGTCAAAGAGGGAGAGACCGTTTGCCCTATCGCACTGTAGGAAAAGCTGCAGGTCATCTACCCAGACGTCAAAAGAGAGAACACTGGGGGTGGCCATGACAGCAGTAGACTAGCAGCGCTAACTGTAGAGCAGGGGCAGTGCAGTGACAGAGACACTGCTCTCACCAAACAGGGCGGTTCGGGCAGCTTGGCAGCACAGCAGCTCGGCAACATGGCGGCTCGAGCAATTCGGGTGGTTGAGTAGCAACTGCGGCTCGGCGGCATCCGCGGCTTGACTCCTCAGTTGCTCAGGCGGCGCGGGCGGCTCGGGCGGCTCGGACGGTGCGGGCGGCTCGGCTGCGTAGGGCGCCAGGGCCGCTAGTAGGGTGGCGGGGCCGCTGGTAGGGTGACGGGGCCGCTGGTAGGGTGGCGGGGCCGCAGGTAGGGCGGCCGGGCGGCTGGTAGGGCGGCGGGGCGGCAGGTAGGGCAGCGGGGCCGCTGGTAGGGCGGCGGGCCGCAGGTAGGGCGGCGGGGCCGCTGGTAGGGCGGCGAGGCCGCAGGTAGGGCGGCGAGGCCGCAGGTAGGGCGGCGGGGCCGGAGTAGGGCGACGGGGCCGGGTCGAAGGTAGGGCGACGGGGCTGGGTCGAAGGTAGGGCGACGGGGCCGGGGCTCAGGTAGGGCGACGGGGCCTGGGTCGGAGGTAGGGCGACGGGGCCGGGGTCGCAAGTAGGGCGACGGGGCCGGGGCCGGGGCGCAGGTAGGGCGACGGGGCTAGGGCCGGGGCCGCAGGTAGGGCGGCGGGGCCGCAGTAGGGCGACGGGGTTGGGTCGAAGGTAGGGCGACGGGGCCGGGGTCGAAGGTAGGGCGACGGGGCCGGAGCGCAGGTAGGGCGACGGGGCCAGGGCGCAGGTAGGGCGACGGGGCCGAGGCGCAAGTAAGGCGACGGGGCCGGGGCCGTAGGTGGGGCTACTGGGTTGCTAGGGCTACGAATCAGGGGCCGCTAAGGCGACGCGACGTGGCCGCGAGGGCGGCTCGACGAAGGCAGAGAGGGGAGCGCGACTCGGGGAGCGCGCTCCGGGCAGGAAAAAAAAAAACTTTCGATGTGGTGGGCCCTAGGCACAGTTCCCACGAGGGAACCTGCTCGATACCATGAGAAAACTGAAACGAGAATGACTGCACTAAGGAATGAAAGTGGTACAAATATGCAACCCTAGGAATGTGTACCCCATATAGGCTACCCCACTACAGCCTACACAACAATATAATTTGACAATAGGGACGAGAAATAGGCAGGCGGAAATAGGGACGGGAAATAGGCAGGCGGAAATAGGGACGGGAAATAGGTACGCAGAAAGAGGGACGGGAAATAGGCAGGCGGAAAGAGGGACGGGAAATAGGCAGGACGATGGATGTCTGCACAACGAGAGTAGGGACTGGGAGAGTAGGGACGGGGAGAGTAGGGACGGGGAGAATAGGGACGGGGAGAATAGGGACGGGGAGAGTAGGGATAAGAATAGGGACGGGGAGAGTAGGGACGGGGAGAATAGGGACGGGGAAAGTAGGGACGGGGAAAGTAGGGACGGGGAAAGTAGGGACGGGGAAAGTAGGGACGGGGAGAGTATGGATGGGGAGAGTAGGGACGGAGAGAGTAGGGACAGGTATAGTAGGAATGGGAAGTATAATACCTCGCTACCCATTGGGTCGAAACGAGGGTGTTAGTTGCCGCAGCGGAGTGCCTTTAACACAGCCCACAGGCTTTACACTCGTCCCCCCCCTGGCGCCAACGTCCCCGTTGGCCTCGGACTTCAGGGAGACGGCCCCTTGCAGCTGGGACCTAGATTTCAGGATCGTTCACTGGGTTCGAGCTGGTAACAACATTTCAGTTCTCGCCAGAGGCGGAAAATGTACACCAGCCCGGACTCGGACCCTAGGCTCTGAAACCAGTATAACACCTCTCTACCCACTGGGTCAAAACGAGGGTGTTATTTGGCGCAGCGGAGTGCCCTTAATACAGCCCACAGGCGTTACAGGAAGTGTAGTGACGGAGAGAGTAGGGACGGGGAGAGTAGGGACGGAGAGAGTAGGGATGGGGGGAATAGGTACGGGGAAAGTAGGGAGCGAGGTGAGGGGCAGGGAGAATCTCCTCCCTCTCCCCCCTCTCCACCCACCACAGCTTTACCCCAGAAAATCATGCACCTTTCTCCCTATCTTCTCTCCCCCTTCCCCTTCGGGCACCCAACTACATTCCCAACTCCTTCCTCTCTTTATTCACTCTCAGCCATCCGTACCTGTGCTATCCTCCTGTGTCCCATGTCCACTCTTGCTTCGTTTTCCCTTTCACCTGGGAGCATCGGATATGCAGACAGGGTAACAGGATAGTGGGGATAGGATGAGCAACGAAGGCGAGCTGTGGGGCAGTGTAGGGGTATGCCGGCGGAATTGCAGGGCCGGAGACTTTCTTTCATTCACTCTCTCCCATACGTACCTGTCCTCCAATCCCGTTTCCCATGTCTAAACTTGCTTCTCAGTCCTTCTTGCCATCTGCCTCCTTGGACCTCTTTTTCCCCTCCCCCATCCCTTCCTTCTCCTTCCCCCCCCCCCCCCCCCCCCATCCTCCTCCTCCCCCATCCCTTCCTTCCCCTCCCCCATCCCTTCCTTCCCCTCCCCCATCCCTTCCTTCTCCTCCCCCATCCCTTCCTTCTCCTCCCCCCCATAATCCCCCCCCCCTCTTTCACCCCTCTTCCTCCCTTTCCCCCTTTTACTCCCTCCGTTCCTCTTCCCTTCCCTCGTTTTCTCCTCCTCCCTCCCCCTCTTGTTTCCACCCTTGTTTGAGAAGTCGATAACAGGAAGAACTGGAAAGTGTGTGGGTGACGTGGGTGGCTCGTGGCACAAACCGCTGAGGCAGGAAGAGTAGGTGAGACGAGTGAAGCTATACTCAGTAGGAGCGGGCTTACGATTGCGGATAGTGCACGAAATTGGTAAATATCGGGAGTGCGATTACAGAGAGTCTGACGATACAATCGAAATGACGGGATGATATAGGGGAAACCCTAGCTAGGCGAGAACCTTGGAATAACGAGGCTCGGGAGCGTGGCGAATAAAGCCGGGGCGACTCGGGGGTGGTTTGGGGCGAGTTTGTAGGCCGAACCAGCTGACGCTAACTTCTAGGAAACATATCGGCTAAAAGGCGACAACAACAATTTAATATTATTCCTTAAAAAGTTTGTGTGGTTACCATTTTCATTTGCAATTATCTACTCTGAAAACTACAATATATCATTTTGCTACAGCCGCGCACAATGGATATACGATACAGTAAATCCTTCATATAAAATCATTCTCCCACAATAATATACAAAAACAAGAGAGAGAAAAAGAGTCGACGGAATCATCTAAGGAATGCGGTGCGGAGCTATGATTTGGAATAAACAAATTACCAAATTCCGATTTTGGAAGGGCGTTTGATTGGCAGGGGAAGGGCGGATGGGCGACAGGGGAGAAGAGGGGATACATTGATGAGTGATCCGATCAGTGCGTGAAGGTAGTGGCGACAGAGGGTGGATGCTAGTGGCCGGACTATGCATGGCTGGTTGGTGCTTGAGGGGAAAAGGGAACACTAGCGAGGGGTGATCGGTGACGGCAAATGATGTTTGCTTGCTTTTGGCTGGACTATGAATGCCTGGGAAAGAGGAGGAAGGGGGGACAAAGGGCATGAGGATGGGAAAGGGGAAGGGGATGGGGATAGGGAAGAGGATGGAAAAGGGGAAGGGGACGGGACGGTAGGTTCAAGAAGGGAATGGGGATGGGTAAGGCGAGACAAAAGGGAAATGGGAAGTGGGGAGAATGATGGAGAATGTTGGTTGCTCTTTTCACACCTGAGGGTGATTAGATGGAGGAGAGCCAATGAGAGAGGCTGGTAAGACAACCCAGAAGGAAAGGGAAATGCACGTGAGGTGGGTAAACAAAGAGGCGGCGAAATGCAAAACGGGGGAGGAGGGATGTGGCGACATATAAGTAGATTTGTTTTCAAACAAATGGGGAAGAAATTGCCACTGGGAGGGGTCAGTTAGAGAGCCAGGACGGGCCAGAGGGAAATGCGAGACAGGTGGTGATACAGAGAGGCAGTGAGTGATGGGAGGGAGGGGTGAAGAAGGGAGCGATGCTGTAGAGTGTCAGTCCATGTTTGTACCATGTGGCTAACTTGGATAATAACATGGCAGGGCATTCGCAGGGCATGCAGCACGCAGGGAGAGATGAGGACCTTAAAAACAACCCCCCAAGGGCATAGCCGCTGGAAACTTGCTTGCGACAGAGACACCAGGCATCCTTGAGCATCTCGCAGGTCAGTCTCTAGCCTTTCACGACCAGAAAACACAGCTGAGTCACCTTAGAGCCGCCTGAAAGTCACCTGAGCAACCTGAGACTGACCTGAGCAACCTGAGACTCACCTAAGAACGACCTGAGAGTGACATGAGAGTGACTTAAGACTGACTTGTGAGTCACCTAGAAATGACATGCTACTGGACCCACAGGTGACCACGGCTGACCCACTGGTGACCCATGATTAGCCCATGACCCTCCCACCACCTACAAACCTTCTTCACCCATCAGGAAGAGCAGCACCGGCCAGTACCAGTGAGCAGTAGCAGTGACACTTTTCAGCCCACCACCTTCCTCACTCACACCACGCACCTCCTCCCCCCGCTGCTTTGTCCGTACGTGAGCAACAGCGCCACCACGGGGCACCCAGCAGCCCCGCAGGTTGCCCGCACCGCAGCGGCGGACACTAGTGGAAGGAGAAGCAGGTGTGAAGCTGGGGGGAGGGGGGGGGAGGGGAGGGGAGATGAAGGGCGGTGAAGGGCGAAGCGAATGCTTTGTTGAACAGTGCGGCCGCGTTGAGAGGTTGGGGACCAGTGGGGCAGAAGTGGGAGTAGGAGAAACAAGTGCTGAGCTTGGGGGGGTTAGGGGAAGGGGAGGGCGGAGAGGGGAGCAAACACATCAGCGCAGTATTTTATAAGAGAGAAGGTGCGGAGGTGCGTAATAAGGTCAGCGACTGTGGGAAAGGCAGCAAGGTCAGGGAAGAGGTACGGTAGCATGAGGTGGCTCAGTGTAGCAGTGGCAGGGGAAGAGTAGCGTGCAACTACAGCGTCGTACAAGGTCTCAGCACTCTTGTACTGGCTAAAGTGCGCACGCTCAGTGGTCGGTAAGTGGCGACGCATAGCAAGACGGGCAGCAGCATCGCGTGTCGCTCACTGTGAGCGAACAGTGCTGTCAGTAGTAGCAGGCGGGGCAGGGGAGGCACCAGAGGTGAGGTCGAACAGAGAGAGGCCGTCTGCCCTATCGCACTGGAGGAACAATTGGAGGTCATCGACCCATACCTCAAAGTCAACAGCACGACCCTCAGTGTCAAAGGTAAGAACACTGGGGGTAGCCATGACTGCAGAGGTCTAGCAAGGAGTGAGCTCACCAGTACGAGTAAGTAGGGCTGGGGCGCGCCGGTAGGACTGGTAGGCTCGACGGCAAGGCGGCATGGCGGCTCAGCTGCTCGGCTGCTGGGCGGCTCGGCTATGGGGCGGCTTGGTGGCTGGGCGGCTCGGCGGTCGGGCGGCTCGGCGGTCGGGCGGCTCGGCGGTTCGGCTGCTCGACTGCTGGGCGGCTTGTGTTCAGGCGGCCCGGCGGTCAGGCGGCTCGGCGGCTGGGCGGCTCGGCGGCTCTACTGCTGGGCGGCTCGGCGGCTCTACTGCTGTGCTGCTCGGTAGAGGCGCCGTCGGGGCCGTTGGCTGCAGCGACGGGGCTGCTTAGGGAGGGGAGCGGCGACGGGGCCGTGTAGTGGCGACGATGGGGCCGCTTAGGAGGCGGCTTCGGGGCCGCTTAGGGGCGGCGACGGGGCCGCTTAGGAGCGGTAGTGGGGCCGCGTAGGGGCGGCGACGGGGCCGCGTAGGGTGAGAGGCGGCGACGGGGCCGCTAGGGGCGGCAACGGGGCCGCTAAGGGCGGCGACGGGGCCTCTTAAGGGCGGCGACGGGGCCGCTGAGGGTGAGAGGCGGCGACGGGGCCGGTAGGGGCGGTGACGGGGCCGCTAAAGGCGGCGACAAGGCCGCGTATGGGCGGCGACGGGGCCGCGTAGGGTGAGAGGCAGTGACGAGGCCGATAGGGGCGGGGACGGGGCCGCGGAGGGGAGGCGAATGGGCCGCGTAGGGGTGGCGACGGGGCCGCGTAGGGTGAAAGGCGGCGACGGGGCTGCTAGGGGCGGCGACGGGGCCGCTAATGGCAACTTCGGGGCCGCATAGGGGCGGTAACGGGGCCGCGTAGGGGCGGTAACGGGGCCGCGTGAGGGGCGGCGACGATGCCGCTAGGAGCCACTAGGGGCCTAGAGAGGGCGGCGAAAGGCGCGCCTCATGCAGGAGCAACTGGCGCTCCGGTTAGAAAGGAAATTTTCAGTGGTGGGCCCAAGGAAGCGTTCCCACTAGGGAACCTGCTCTATACCATGTTAGGAATGAGGAATGAATGAACTAGCAAGCAGGCGGGTACGAGTAGGAAAACCTAAAAGCGTTATACCCCATAGTGTCTACCCCACTATAGCCTACACAAGCTATATAATATGAGTTTGACAATCAGCTGGTATTTGCTTAACCTGTCCTTTTCTCCCTTTCTATGTAGGAAAATCGTCACTGCCTCCTCCACCTCCGTGGGAAGCACCGCTTTTGTCGTGAAATCTTTAACCAAAGCCATGAAGCTCCCTTGTAAGAGGTCTCAGTTAGTTTCGAACAACTCCTTTGGCATAACACATTACCCTGCGATATGTTTTTTGCAATGGCAGCAAAGGCTGCTTTTACCTCCCGTTCTGTCCAGTCTACTTCCAGCCCTTAACTTCCGAGGAGCTTAGTCGTCCGCCAGGGGCCGGGGACCAGTCCTGGAAATCCTATCATCTGTCCCTGCATAACATTTGTCAAAGGTAATCAGAAGCTGCGTCCTAGATTCGCTTTGAGTCCGTTACCGTGTTCCCCACTACTTGAAATTTTGTAATCTGGGTGTAGCATTTCTACGACTTGACCCTGCTTGAGGGCTACTCTGAAGAGACTTCCTCCGTGGGTTCGGCATTAGTCCCGCCATGAGGTGCAGTCCATCCCTTTTTATCAATTGGTGTTCATTCAGCTGTACTTTCTTCTCCTCCAGTAACGCCCTCCGCCGGTCACAGCTCAGATTACCCATTACCCGGTCACGCAACGTTGCCACCACCTCATCAGGTGCAATGGTTGGACGTGCAGAGATAACTACTGCAACAGGAGCTAGACTACGGGCTAGGCACGTGTGCTCGTGTGATCTCTGCGTTCGTTCACTTAGTCATTTCCTTGTGTTCACGCTTCTTGCTAGTTGACGGGGAGAATTGGCAAGAGTTTCACTAGGAAAACATGACAACAATGATAGCAACAACATTGGCATTACAGACTACGTCAGTGCTAACTAGGCTGCTGGTCGATCTCCAGCGCAACACGGTCGACCGCGCTCCAGCGCAGCAGCGCTCGCACCGCTCCAGTGTTGCAGAGTAGCGGTTCGCCAACGTTGCAAGTCCACGGTGTGCCAGCGCTGCAGCAAGTCGGCTGCACAGCGTTGCACTCGCAGGCTAACGGTGCGCCTGCTTCGCAAGTGCGCGCAGCTGGTTGGTGCGCACTTCCCTATCACGTGCACAACGCAGACGCCTGGCACACTCCACGCCAGCGACTGTGCCCACCAGCCACGTCTACCTTGAGATACCACCCCCGAGGTTGGCCTCGCAGACTCCACCCTGGCGACACTCGCGCACGTCGCCCGGGTATTCCGGTCGACCGGGCAACCACGCCTGGC